AAACCCCTCTGACATTCTGGGAACAGCGTGTTGGCCTGCAGTTGCTCCCTGGAATCAAGCTCTCATCTGCACTTGTCTAGCTCCCAACGCACAAAGTTAACAACTGACCTGATGGACAGAGCGGAGAAACAGCTGCTGCTCAACAAGGTACTGGAATGGAAGACAGCAGGGGAGGGGGGGTCACACTCCCACTGATGGTCTTACCAGACATGTCTTGATGCAGGAATTATACCAGCCTCAAGTACTGTTGTTTCCCAGACCTTCAGAGAAAAGACAGACATTTGACTGCTGTTTTTATATCGGTACTGTTATGGTTTTTTATATGTTTTATCTGTCTTGATGGCAGAGTTGGAAGAAGTATATAGATATTTTACTCAAGTTAAAGTGACAATACCATGCTATTAAATTTCCATTCATTTCCTTGAGTGAAGGTACAGAAGTCTTGGCAACAAAATAGGTCATAATCCAGAGCGACCTCTGGGAATGATATATATTGTATAATTATTATTCATTTATCAAAATGTAAACAGTACTTCAATGTTGTCATTGGTTGAGCTGAATTTTAATTGATCTGTACACTGTTGAGTTTAATACAGCAGTGCACCTTATTTTATAAAATGAATATACAGTTTGTTCTGTTTGTAAAAGTCTCATCTGTAATGTAACCAGTAACTTTATCTAATACATAAGTGTGGTGGACTAAAAAGAAGCATAAAATGTAAACAATGATGTACATTTGAATGAATATAGGCCTACAGAATGCTTTCCACCACTGGGTGATGGTTTCAATAGTATGCATACAACATAACATTAATATTTGCCTTTATATATCAGAAATATCTGTATCTCATGTCTCTTTTTTCTTAATACATACTAGAAAAACAGCCAGTAGGGATCAGTTACACAGTGGAACATAAACATTGAAAGCTACCGTGTTTTATATAGTTTGCCCTCTGACCCAAGCGTATTAGTGAGGTCAAAATTTTCACACCTCCTGCAGACCACCCCTGCTCCCCGTCCAGAGTGACAGACTTATGCTGTGGCACTCATACCTTCATAAGCTTGCATGTTTTTTTTTTTAAATGTAGATCATAAACTAAACACTATCAATGGTTGCGTGTAGCTTGAGCTAATAAAAACACACAGATTCAATGTTTTCACCCACAGTGGATGAATGATTCCCTGGGAAGGTCTCTCTGCGCCAGTCAGTTGACCTGTTTGCAGTGACTGAGGGGAAGAGGGGGGTTTCCTAGGAGACCCTGGCAACGCTGGCTGACTAATGTTGGGCCTCCCGGCTGATCAATGCTGTTGTGGAACCACACAGCTGACAGCAGACAATGAACAACACACTCTGCTAATAGGCCGTGTGTCCTCCACAACACCAAAGAAGAAGAGGGCTCCCACTATAATGGGGCTTGTTGCTTATGAGCTGGGGTCTCAGCAGGAAAACTATCGGGGACCTGAGGCCAGGAGTCTACTGGTCAGCCTGAGCTGTCAAGCACAGTAAAAAGGACTCAATACTCTCTATAAGACATATATTAAAAATCATGCTTTTAATAGGCCATATAATATTGATTTAAATCCTTTTTTAAGTTTAAATTTCCGCAAAAATAACATTTATAAATCAATGAACATGGAAGAAAGTTTTCCTCGATGTTCATTGATTTTGATAGATTTTTTTTTTTTTATATATATATATATATATATATATATATATATATATATATATATATATATATATATTTAATAATACCAATGTCACTCAAATTCCACCTCGACTTTTACAGGCTTAACTCCTTTCAAGCACCGCCCAAATCATTCCCGGGACCCCCCCCCTCTTCCTCCTCCTCCTCCTCCTCCTCCTCTCTGCGGTGTGAAAGTGATCACAGCAGAGGAGGCAGATCTGACGTTTAAACTGTCGCACAGACTCTTCTGCTGTCAGTGCACCACTGGACCTTTCTCTGCAAGGAGATCACTGAAGGCTTGGATCCAAAATGAAGCGAAGCCACAATTACAGCTCCTCGGACAGCGACCTGGACGACAATGTTGAGGTGGAGAAGGATAGTGGCGACGAAAATGGGTATGTTCACTTTTTAAGATCATTAACATAAGTTCTAAGGCATTCTTTCGTGTAATTCAATAACTGTAACTCTTTTTTATGTGTATTTTAAATTGTATTTATTTTCTCATTGCTTATTTGCTCATTGCTGAAGTCAACTTGATTCTCATGGCTCGATGTCACCCTCCACAACCACACAAGTTCAAGCCAGAAAAAGGCGCAGAGGGGTAAGTAAACTTACTATCTCTGGTGCCAAGCTGCGCTGCTGTCTGAGAGATCCCACTGTTCTTCTACCACCTGTGACCTCAATTACATTGGGTTTTTTTTGTTTTTTTTTACCCATTTACAGATTATTGAGAAACGGAGACGTGACCGAATCAATAATAGCCTGTCAGAGTTGAGAAGACTGGTGCCAAGTGCTTTTGAGAAACAGGTAAATTGGCCATACTTCCGTCCTTTCCTAATGGGCACATAAATGCCCATGTATGCTTTTTTTTCTAGATGGATTTTACATATCAGTATCCTTAAAATCGACACTATTATTTTTCTATGTCTTTACAGGGATCAGCTAAATTAGAAAAAGCTGAAATTTTGCAAATGACTGTGGACCATTTGAAGATGCTCCATGCGTCTGGTGGCAAAGGTAACTTTCTTTTAATAAATTAAATTAATGCTTTAATTTCCTAATTCAAAATGAGAAAATATGCCGTGAACCACGTTTCTAACGGTCTGGTTTCCTTTCCTGACAGGTTACTTTGAAGCTCATGCTCTTGCTAAGGATTACCGCAGCCTGGGCTTCAGGGAGTGCCTGGCAGAGACAGCCCGCTATCTGAGCATCGTAGAGGGTCGGGAGAGTACAGACCCCCTCCGTATACGTTTGGTGTCCCACCTCAGCAACTATGCCTCTCAGAGGGAGGTGCACGCTGGACTGGAACACTTAGCCTGGGGCTCTGCCTACGGGACAGCCCCTGCCCATCTCCCCCACGCCCTCCTCCTTCAACACCCCCAGGGCAGGACACCTGCATCCAGAAGCAACAGCAGCCCACCTTCCTCCTCCTCCTCCTCCTCCTCTTCCTCCTCTACATCTTCCTCCTCCTCCACTGAGGCATCTGGGACATCCAGACTTAGTGTCATGTCCCCCACAGAGTCCCTCAGGGTGCCCCCCAATGGCTCGCTGTCCCTCAGTCTGCCCGTGCCAACATCCAAGCTATCACCACCACTCCTTTCATCCCTCTCCTCGTTGTCGGCCTTCCCCCTCTCTTTCGGTGCTCTTCCCCTAGTCTCCCAGTCAGCCCTCAGCACAGTGAGCCCCTCCTCCACCCTGTCAAAGCCTTACAGGCCTTGGGGCACAGAGATTGGGGCCTTCTGAAGCTAACAACTGGACTGAAGGCAACAGCTGAGCTGTGCCCACCACAGACTAGGCCAGAAACCTGCCTCTTCTGTTTTTATGGCAATAAGACACAGGGGAACAAAGCAAACTGATTTTATTTTATTTAGTATAAAGTGAGAGAGGTTTTTGAATGGTGTCGTTTCCTCTCAGTATGCCATTACTCTTCTTAAGAAAGGATTTTATGTTATTCATTGAAATTGATAACTAATTTAGTTAACATGCACTGTCTCCCGGTTGAGGACTGACATATGACATACGAGCCATGAATAGATTTATTTTAAGCACAAATGTAGAGGTAATATTTTGTAGACCACATACTGAAACCTCTACATTTGTTGAGCATGGATGTCTGTATTTAACATAACGTAGAGTTATTCTTAATTCGGTCTGCTTCTTTAGTGGTATCAGAACTTATGGAAGATCGATATGCATATTGTATGTGCCACTGTTGGAAAACTAACTACTTGAGAATCGGAAACTTGCATTCTTGTATCCATTTGTAATATTTTTGTACCAATAAATTGAGTTAAAAGTATAAAACATGGATTTAAATCAAAGTGTTTGTTTCTGTTTCATTTGCTCTTTTAATTCTCTGGAATGTTTTTATAATTTATACTAGGTGGATATTTTCTTCTATAATAATGCTGCATAGTCCTATTATAAGCTCTCCGATTGTAAGACCATATCTTTCCAAATGACATATAATCTGCAGGTGCCTTTTTGTTGCAATTCCGTATGAGTTAATCATGAGCTAATCATCCTGCTTATTGACTGAAAGGCAATTCCTTTACTGTGTGCCAGGTAAGTAACCAAATCTTAGAGCATTGTTGCCCTTATGAATACCCAGGAAATCATTAAGAGCCAGAGGAAATCCTTTACAATGTTGCCCTGACCTCACCAGCTTGGGTTGGTCTAAAAAGGAGACAATAGTGTGAACAGGATGGGGACACTGGAGGAAAGTGGTTAAAAAGTAACAACAACACACAGACAGCTGGACCAATAAATCATTGTTCAGCTCTGTGGTGTTGTTTCTGCTCCAGTCTGAGTGACACAGATCTTTAGGGCTTCACTATTTGAGTGAGCTTTTTTTAACTACCCATGCAGCACCTCAGGCTTCCAAGAGGGGCAGTCGCTGTCTGGGATGTGTTTCCTGAGGGTTTAAGCCATGTGGTATTAATAATAAATGAAGTATATTACCTTTTTTTGAGAAACAAAATATGAGTCGATTTAGAGCACAATATACAAAGGTGTTCAAGTGCTGATGAATGACACCAACCTTGCTTCCTCTAAATTATTTAAATTAATTTAAAATAATATGTATCATGATTCTTTATGATTATCTAAATTCAATCAGTGCTTTTATTATTATATTCAATATTTGTATTTGGCATATTGTGAACTTTTGCCCTCCTTTTGGATTGGTATGGGCTCCAGCTTGATATCTTTAGTTTAAAGAATCTGACACTGCCACCTAGTGGAAAGACTTAGTCTTGTGTGTGCCTGATGGATGGACTGACACATGAATGAAAATCAACTGGGGGAAGACTGTGATTCTCAGGATGTGTAGATAACTGGTTCTTTTATTTGGCAGTTTACATTTTCCCTCATCTTTTAGCACAGAAAAGTATTAGATGGTGCATGCCATGTTCACAGAACCCCAAACCTTTATTCAGCAAAGCTTTCACAGAGAAATATATGAAGGGAGAAACACAAGCAGCAGAGGATGCAGGCAGATATCAGTGGGACCGTATATTAAAAAGAGACTAGTTCAGTGTGCTGAATGTAAAGCATCCTGCATCCATTCTCCATTCTCTAATCCCCTAAAGAGAGCAGAGGCTAGTGATGCCTTGTGGTAAATTCGCATTCACACACACCCACACAGACATACATTATGTTCACACTATCAATATCAAGGTGGGAGCAACAGCACATTCCACTGTCCAAGACAATATGCATGGTACCAGTATGGTGTCATAACATTCAAGAGATTAATCCCCAAATACTGTGTACATAACAGAACTATTGATTTAGCTAATAATGGATTCGTTGAGAAATAAAGTTGTCAGGGTAAGTGGGAATCTGCAAGTGTAGAAACAGTTGCTCCCGTTTGGGCAAAGACATTCTTAATAACAATAAAGCACCTATCAAGTTCATTATCAAGCTCATTTTTCAGAAGGAAGTGGACACTTATGAATCTGTGTGTTTGGCGTATTGTTAAGTTCCAAAGCGTGCGTGTTGAGAATGAGTAGGTGTGTGCGTGAGGAAGATACAGATGGGATACGTTGAGATCTTGAGGAATCTGCAGTCTAGGTACACCAACCGTTATTCTTCACAAAGACACAGAAACATCATCATCATCATGACATCATCAGGAAACACCGCAAATGTCAGTCTACAGCCAACTCACAACACCAAGGGCTTTCACAAGAAAATGGTCGCAGAATCAAATTTCAAGAAATGAAACATTAATCACAAACAAAATGTTTGAAATTGTACAGTGCAGTACAGTACAGTATTTGTATTGTATTGTACTTCACCTACCATCTAGATAGATAGATAGATAGATAGATAGATAGATAGATAGATAGATAGATAGATAGATAGATAGATAGATTTTAAGAAAAAAGTATTTACAAATTAATAGCCATATTCCCCTAAAATCAACAATTCCCTTCTCAAGACGAGTGTTATTGATGTTTGTATCCACTGATAATACTGATAGTGGTGAGTACTGGTGGTGTGGAGTGTTGTGATGTGGTGGTGAGGTCCTCGAACCTCTCGGCCTCCAGGGTTGGGTGTCTGTTCTGAGGGGGGTGAGGGCAGGGAGAGGGAGGGGGCGGGGTTTGATGGAGGGACGTTGATGGACCATGGAAGTCAGGACTTGTGTGAGGCTCATGCTGTCAGCTCTTCCCTCAGCTCTTTGTTCTTGCGCACCAAAGCTGCATGTCTCTCCTGAAAACACCACACAACAGCATGAGAACAATAAGTCATCAGGAAAAGGGTCAAACTCGGATGGTCTTAATGAAGGGGTGGACACTTAGACTTTTGTTTTTTCTTCTAAACATTTCTGCACTTCTCACCTTCTCCTGTAGACGCTCAAGCATGGCTGCCAGATAGGCGTCACGGTTCTCCTTGATCTGCTCCATCTTCATCTGGAGCTTCTCCTCTGCCATCTTGCTAAAGTTGCTGTTCTCTTCCATGGCCTTTAGCAACACATCCCTCTCATGCTCTCGCTTTTCTGCCAAAGCCCTCAGCACCTGGGCCTCCTGATACTAAAATGCACGGAAAAAAAGAATAGACAAACTGATTAATATTGAAGGGTTTGAAATCCAAACTGTGTTTTTGGTTGTTGTTTTTTCTTTTCATTTGAAACACCCAAAGCTATTTCAGACTGGTAGAATTCTCACCTTCCTACGATCTTCAGCAGCCTCCAGTTTCTTCTCAATGTCATCCAAGGAGATGTCCCTCTTGGGGGGTGAGGGGAGGTTATGGGCTACATCTGACACTGGAGACAGAGGCTTGAGAATCACCTCAAAGGCCTGGCCAGAAGCCCGCTTGTTAATAGGTTTCACCTCCATGTCTGTAAAGCAGAGAATTATGATGAGAACACCAGCATAATCAATGTCCAATATCACAATAAATCAGTCCAATAACTGTCACTAATGTGTTAGGCAATTTGTTTGATCCAAAAGAAAATCCATGTTTGAGCTGATCCATACCTTCAAACTCATGCTCAAGCTTGTTGCGTGTCTCTGGGTAGAAGCAGGAGCAGATGAGGGAGAGGACAGACAACTCCTTCATCTTCTCTTTGTATGCTGTGGGAACATAAACACACCATAGCATCAGGTGAGTCTCTATATGTTACTCATGAAAACAGTGATACAGGCAAATTAATACCCAGCTGAGGTGTCCTCACTACCACAGTGTCACACATTCACAAATATACTAGAGACATTTACAAACTAAGATATTCTGAGTTTTGAGAGGAAATAAAATGCTCAATAAAACAAACAAAACAAAAGCCTCAGATGAGTGGAGTGTTAAAAAGCTATTCAAAGTACATTAGTGCCCTGTTGCTTAATAATTAATTGGATCGGCATAGTCTGTAAGGGTGTAGATTCTGTTATAGGATGTATAGTAAGAGATTTGTGACTTATTTAAATCAAGAATTCAGAGCCTTCTATCTTCTTCTATCAAATGATTTAATTTCCTGTTTAACTCTTAACTGTTTGTCCTGTGTCATGACCACAATAATAAGAAGCATTTATATCTGTCTCTTTCCTACCTTGTTGTTGACTGTCATAGCTGTCAAATACAGCTGATTAATGATCTTGACTTTTATACTAGATCTGAGGACGTGAATTTTCACCAGTTCCTTGCCGACTATTTTTAATCTCATGTGCAAATTCTGTCACTTTTTCCCTGCTCTTCCTGTCTTTGACAAAGTGCCCACCTGGCTGCTCGGAGAGGACAGTGCTGCTCAGCCTTCTGCTGCAAAGGCCAGTGTGTGAAGCGGCCCCTTGCTGCAGGGCTGGCCTGCCTCCCACCCTGCTATGCACCTGTCTCCTCGGCTACATCTCATCCCCACCACACATAACATAATGAGGCACAGTCTGCACACCGTTCTGTATTTCAGAGGGACCAAATGGGATGCTTACGTTGAGGCACCATTAATGTTTTAGATATGTATACAGAGGCTAAACATACACATGAAAACAAATGTGCTAAATGCCTGGCCTACAACAATAACTGTCCATCACAAGAGATGACTAATGCAGGCTATAATCTACTTCTTAGCTGTTAATATAATATTCACTGCTCCAACTCCTACGCCTAATTGTCTAGAATGGGAACCTTTTCATTTGTTCTTATGCCAAAAGGTTAGTTTTGCGAAACAAATGACAGCACATCTGTCACAGCTGGTGATGCAACCTTTGCAGGAAGAAATAAGAAAAGCTACAGACATGAATAAAAGGAGTAATCCAAATAACCGATTAAAGGAGACGTTCAGGGTACAGAAAGACATTTTAAAATAATCAGTTAAAGCTGTGCAGGTTTAAGTAAAGCGAGGTAGATATAAAAGTCAGACTGATGAAGCCCTCTCAGCTTTGCTGTCGGCTAAATGGTCGGCAGCCCAGCATCTTGGGTGGGGTCCGTCTGCATTATGCTGCATGTTGGGGCCGCTGTAGCATGAACCGCAGGTGCAGCGTTGTAAATAAAGCTGTCTTGAACCAATCCCTATTGTGTCTTAATAATCCAGTGTTACATAAGATCAAAGCAAATTAGGACTAATACATTGACATAAATGAGAAAAATGAAGAAGACATTTTGGTAACCTAATGACGGAGGAGGCTTTGGTTGGTAAACCCAGATTCTTCTTGTCATCAAAAGATCTTATGCTGAGACAATAGGCCCACAGTCGACGGATATATAGGTGAGAGATCTAATTTCCCTTAATTTTAATCATTCAAACGAGAACATCTGAGTGGAGGCATTACAGGAGCACGACCACCAGCCGGCAGACAATACCAGGCCGACATGAGCTTTATACAGAAAGGATGCATCTGTCATAGGTCCATCAATCCATCAACTCATCTATCTATCCATCCATCCATCCATGCATGCATCGGTTTTAATATGATCAGTCTGAACACGCTTACCGGTTGCTGTTTTAGCCATGGCTGATGGATTTCTCCGCAGAGGATGCTGTTGCTCTGTTCAGGTGAACGGTGATGCTGTTTAAGGCACTGAGTCAGCGAATAGACCGGGGTAGGATCGGATGGCAGACAGGAGGTGGGCACGCACGGGAGCGCGCAAAGCAGACCCTCCCCTCAGTCCTCTGACGCGCAGGGCGGATTTCAGCATCTTCAATAATGCGAGCACATATCCTTCTTAAAGCTGGCGATTAAAGCACAGGTGCATGAGAAAGTTGATGAATATGTTTTTCCAGACCGGATAACTGCGACTTGTGTTTTGTATGGATACAAATGTATGAAAATATAGTTCCACAGCAATCCAATCCAGCAATGCAAGCAGGTATGAATAGGCACATTTACCCATTTAGGTGATTTTAAGAATACAAAAGATTCCCCCCATCTTGACATTTCTAATAAAATAGGCCAATAAGTTAAACTGCAGTGAGTATTTTATTATATTAGAAATTATGCTTGCCATTAGTCAGACCTTCCAATTGAATCATTTGGATGCGTCATCTAACATCAGTGATGGCCTACAAAGAGTGAAAGTGTTGAATGCCATTATAAAATACCTTGTGTATCTGAATAGATTTGTGTGGGAATTCAAATTGAACTCAGTGACACCAGGAGAAATTCCTGACACCTATTTGTATTGAATCTATTCAAGAGGTTCACATAAACAGGCTGATCTCAAGACTGAAGTTCACTGTTATTTTTAATGAGTAGACTGCAGCGGTCAGGATGTTGGTCTTACTGGGCTTCATCTTCTTCAGAATACAAACAGCTCTTACTGCAACAAATCTTCCGCTTCAAACATTTGCCAGAGTGCTTCTTGCACCAAGACATAACTGTAGTATGTCATAAACATGAACAAACAAACAAACAAACAGGACAAAAAACTTCAGTCTGCATGAGGCTTTATTAGTGATAAGACATCCAGTGGAATTTTTTTTCTCTCAAAATGACATTTTGTGACATTTCGTTGCAGTTTTTAGGTTCTGAATGAAACATTTCAGAAGCCTAATCCTAAAAAAAAACAACACAATATACATTCTGCATAAAAAAAGATACTCCAGATGATACATATTTGCAACGTTTTGCAACAACCAACACTATCATAAGAATACACCACATTTATCAATATGAGAGTAATTGTTTGGTTTTCATGAAACAAGGAACATTTCAGTGACAGATAAAGTCATATGCTACATTCACACTGCAGGACCAAATCTGACTTTGTTGCTTATATGTGACTCAGATCTGGGTTTTTTTTTTCATGTGAACATCACTAATGGAATCTGATTTGGGCCACTTTCATACATATATGGTCCAAATCAGATACTGGTCCAATTTTGACCTCAGTGTGAACAGTCCGGTCTGAATTTATGTGAAGGGACAGGGAGGTGTTTGGCCCTCATAACCATTCATTTTTGGGGTTTTTTTGGTAAGCATGTGACATCGTATGATGTCTTATATCTTTTGCGCAAGCAGGTCAGTTCAGGACCGTGACGTGTTCACACTGGAATCTGATATGGCCCACATTTAAATATTATATTATTAAATAATGTGAACAGCCAAGCAAAAAGATCTGAGCAATAAACCTGAATTGAGTGCTAAGGCTTGCAGTGTGAATGAGTGAGTTTGTTACAGCACCTTTGGAAGCATAAACCTGCCAAAAGTCAAGAAGTAGTTCAAGTTTTGTGGATAAGGAACGTTACACGTTGTATAAAACAGAGGCAGCCTTAAATAAGACATATTTGATGGCCATAAGCTGCAACAAAACATTTAACTCTTAAAATACAGGAGGAAGCAAGCCGGTTTATCAATAAACTAAACAAGTGTCACGGATGAATCGAAGGAAGTGCATAATGTTTCTGGACATATGGTTACTGGTGAGCAAGAAAGAATGTTTATAAAAAAAGTTGTGTTATTGCATTGCAATGCATTGCATTTTGTTTTCAGTGTTTTACAGGTTTCATCATAAGTGCTGGAATATAAGTGTAATTACTGTTCCACTTATCGGCCTGCTGCTTTGGCCTTCAGCTGCTTCTTAATGTAGGAGCCAACCAGTATCTGAGGTCGTTGTTGGTAATCGTGAAGAACTGCATGAGAGCTGCTCAGCTGATCCCCCTTCAGCCGATCCAGTAACGTCACACAAACCACCGCCGCTTTACGTAACAAACAATGAATATTAGGAAGTGACATCTGTCTTTTGAGACACCGAAAAATTCATCAGCTATAATATAATGCTGATATTGTATTTTCTTACCTCGTACACCGCTCAGCTTGCACATGGCAGCAAAAACGGATGACTCCATTTCAATATTGCAGACTCCTGCTTCATTGGCTTTATTGAGGTAGTCCTGTTTATCCTTCTCAGTGTAGGAGCAGAAAGCACCATCCAGACGAGCTTGTCCTGGGTGATTGATCACATAAAGAAGACAGAAAGATAGCAAAAGATGCACATTACAACTGAACAATGTGAGTAACACATCAGTGCATCAGAACTATCATACCTTCGTAGAAATCCAAAGTACACATGGTGTTGCCTATCACTGTCTCAAACTGGTTCAGCTCCTTGCTGCACTGCAACAGCTCCTCAGCCAGGCTTTGGTCCAGATCAGTATTGCGCACCACTGTCTTCCCCAGGATCACCTGCTCAAACTTGGGCAGGAAAGTGGCATCCACCGACTGCTTGGTGATGACAACAGTGCCAGGTTCAAGCCCTGAAAACCAAAACATGAGAAAAACAATCATTTCTGATCTGAAAGCAAGCTTCGATTTAAAGGCATTTTTTATATATGTGGGAAGGACATACTGGACTGATAAAGACTATATTAACAAAGCATTCAAATTTGAAAACCATTAAAATTAATTATTCAACCTCCTATTTTAAATGATCTGAAATAACATATACCATTAGTTTAATTTGTAATTCAGTTGTACAGGCTAATTAAATTATAAACACTATGTGTATTCAACATTCATATATGCGGCAGGAAACCTTCCAATGGTTTATGCCAAGTTTGGCATAATGTAGGTTAGTAGATATCAGAATTAATTTCCATAACTCACTCACGTGAAAACAAAAATATGTCTTTTCTCTTATTTGGAAACTGGAGGAATACCACCATCAGCTAATAGTAACTATACACAAACAGCCATATTGGATAACACTGCTCAGAAATCTGGGGAGTTTAGGCTCCCTCTTGTGTTAAAACTAAGGAAAGGCATTTTTGTGGACAATACCGAGCACTCGCAACATTTGGAACAGGGAGTCTGAGTCCTGAGTAATTTCCTCTTACACAAGTTCATTAAGTTAATTTACAGAAGCACAGGGGAACTAGCCTTGGGGTGGTGGCAGTATTTATGGTTTTAAAGATGAACAATCAGATGTATTATCAGGCACTGAGGGAACAAAACATATTTCTCCTATAATAAACAATAAGCTTACCTATTCCACCCGATGTCCCAATGCGTATAATTGTAACGTCTGTGCAACGTGCATGATGGAGGAGCTTTATCAGCTCATGCAACATTATGGCAATAGATGGGATGCCCATCCCATGCTGCAAAATAAAACAAACATTTTCATATCTACATAGTTTTGTAATTGAAGTACCAAAATGTTCTGATAGAATTTTGTTCCTACTTACACTGACAGAGAGCACCGGGCCGATTTTGTACATAGCATAGCGGTCTGTTCCAGCGCAGATATTTGGGTACTCTGATTTGGGGTCCTCCATACTGAGCTCAGCAGCAATGTACTCAATGAATGATTTCATTCTCCAGGGACTGCCCCCAACACACACAAACTGAAAGAAAACACACACACAAATATAAATAACTGCTGAATAAAGATCATTATGGACGTGTTTCTTTCCACAAATCAATGTTAAATAAAAATCTTTACTTTGACGTCACCAAACATAGCTGGAAGGTTGTGAGTCCCGGTTCCTAAACTGAAGTGGTAGAGGATGTCATTTTTCAGTGCATCCAGGTGTGGGTTGTTCACATTAACAGGGCTTGAGGGGGGAAGAGGATAACACATTTTAAGTTCCATCCTGATAATCAGACTGAACTGCCAGTTTGTGTTACTCCGTTCATTAAGTGGATGAAGAAGCTGGGTCAGTTCAACTAAATATAAAAGAACGTATTTTCTCACTTAACCCTGTGTTATCAAGCCATGAACATTTCATGGAAGGTGTTGCATTGGACAAAACAACAGAAACACCTGTCTGTAAAATGTAATACAGTTCAACAGCACCACAAATGACATTCTACAAAATGATCATAGGATTGAGTCAGCGCCTCTCTAAAACAAAAATTAACAGTCTAGCCTTCATGAAAGTGTTTATTGCTTTATTGCAGGGCTGTTGTATTGGACTGTCTCAGCTTTAGCTAGGTGTGTCTTAGAAATTCAATGCATGTGTATACTACACCTATATCAGTGTGAGAACATGTATATTAAGAGAGAAAAAGTGGGAGTTTTAATGTACACATGTATACAGTATCTTCCTCGTTGTCTGTAAGTTCAACTGTTTAATGTAAAGAATGTATAAAGTTGCTGACTGAGTTATGACATTTGTATCAGTTCAGTCAATCACAGGATCAATATTTTCTCTATGCTTTGTAGCTAACCAGATAGAGCAGAAGTAGACTCAGTGTGTCTCGGTTAAAGATCCTCCTCTCCACAGCAAAACGGTGTAAAATAGAAACTGAAAACCACCGAAAATGGGAAAATAATGACCCAAAACTGTCCCAGACAAAAGACAGACATGAAGAAACAATCCTAACAATGTCACTGAAAAACACATCAGAATAGGCTACATAAAACTCAAAATAAAATGAAACTTTCCATGTCTGAGTTTTTTTGTTTTCAGTGGCACTACTTGTTCTCAATGTCAGTGTTTCCTTTTTCAGTTCCGGTTTTCTTCCCAAAGCCAAATTTTTGTTCAAAGATATCCTGACACTCCCGGTAGTTTCCTGATTCAAACCTTACAATTACCTTAAAACATAGTCTGCGCTGTGTCTACATCAGTTGTTAAACAGTACATTGGCCCTGCGTTATTTAATACATACATTAGGGACATGGACTTAGGACTGGAACTTCTCACCTGCTGCATAATGCCTTTCGCTTGTCGTCCTTTGGATCCATCTTCCTGAAAACTGCATCCGAAAATGATTCAGTGACCGAAAACAAACATTTGAAGGCTACAATTACAAACTGGGGAACATGTGCTTAACCCTATATACATATAGGCTATATGTATATGGTGAGTAATTAGTCTAATCTAAAACTCAATATCGCACAGTTAAGCTTTCAAATAGAGAACAGCCCCCAGCATAGGTCAGACATCGCAGCACACTTTGTCGCTCACCGTGCTGGGAAGGAGGTTGGAAACATTAAGAAACAATTAGCTCCATCTTTCACCTTCAAGACAAACCAACAGGACAATAAAAGCCAACAAAGCTACAACACAAACACAAAGCTGTACTTTACCTTCGCAATGTTGCTGTTCGACTGCCGCTTCCTCCGTTTCTGACTAATTAATTTCGCTTTCTGAACATCTGACGTCGACACCGTAACGTGAGTGTCCGGCCCCACAGTGATGTGGCGTCGGGCACGTCACAGGCGTCCGTGCAGCTACGTACCCGTAGAGAGGGGTATGGATGTGGTGCTACTCTGCCTCGGTCACGTACAAGTTGTGACTAAACAGCAATGGCGTGTGTTTACCACATCCTCTGATGTCCGCAGAGGAAACCACAGCGGGTAGCGAAAACTCCAATGTTGCCAAATAATTCCTGGCGGCTTCATAATAAAAGTTTATTGTAATTTTTATATGACCGTGTGTTGACACCTCACACCCACCAACAACAATGGCCCAGGTTACTGTTACAGTGATCAGTCAGAAATTACTCATCATGCTCCTTTCCAGTGTTAAGAGCAATAGGTGAATTCAAGTACTTTTGAAGAATAATGTGCATGAGCATAATAAAATCCATCCATCCATGATCTATAAACCCTTGTTTATTAAGTACTACTTAAATCTGGGACTTTAAAAACTATTGGTTGGTCTTTAATGACTGAAAAGCTATAAATGTTGGCTTGATATTGTTGAGTACTTTCACTACATTACAGTGGTCTTTCATGGATCCGTTTTTAAAATACCTGCAGTGGAGAATATTTAGCTCCATTCATTTATTCCTTCAAGTAAAAATGTGAATTAAAGGAAGTTTATTTTTGTGGTGATAATGTTGATATGACGTAAAACATCTATTAAACACACCAGTTCAGAGAACAGAACACAATGTCTGGATGTCTGTGCCATTAAATCTGCATGAATTATTTTGCTATTTATGCATCCAACAGATATGTAGTAACATTATCAATAATTTGTATTCATGTATTCATTTAAGCTCTGTTTGGGTTTTCATCAACCCCCCTTAGGAAAAAATCTGGCTCGTTAGCTGCTAAATGCTCCACTATGTTCCCCAGATGATCGAAAACACTGCCAGCTGTTTGGTGATGGGCAGGTAGCATACAGGGCTCTGCTGAGAACAGCTGATAGCTGATAAATGAGGATACAAGCAAGGTTGAGGCTCAGAAAACAGTCAGCTGAAAGACACTAAAATAGTCTTTAAAAAAGAGGGGCACTGCAGAGTTAGGCAAAGTCTCTCTGTATGGTCACTGAGTGGCACCTGGCAAGTTTGAATGACATGACAGAAAGAAAATGTCAACACACCAAACGGTTTAGCCAAACACTCCTTTATAAGTCAAGTCAACATGTTTACCAAGTCATGTTAATTCACAATGTTGATGTAATGCCAACTAATACAGCAGATGGCAGACATCACTGTCACTTCAGGTATGGTTTGTATTTGTTGACTCTAATAATATGATGAGTGATGATGAGTCTGAATTGAATGGCTTTTTTTTTCTTCTTCTCGTTCCTTTAAACAAAACATTAGCACCACAGCTGAAAAGTAGCCATTAATATCTTATGTTTAGAACTTTTTTTTTTTACAAAATATAAATACTTCACTACAGCCAAAATTGTACACAGCAGAAAATATAAGTAAAATGCAACACTCAAAGTAAAGTGGTGTTTAGTATTATGACTTTGTGCAACTTCACCTCAAAAGGTCATCAAAATAATAAACATGCAAATTAAAATATCACAAGTTAAATTAAATTCACTCAGAAAGCAGTAAGAAAAAAACAAACACAAACAAACACTCTTTGGGGTAGGGAACACCTGTGCAAATGTCTTAGGGTGAGGGAAGCCTTTCTGCCATCCTAAAAACAGAAACAAATATTTTTCACACTGTTATTTTATTAAAAGATCCAGTGTGTAGGATTCAGTGGCATGTAGCTGTGTAGTTATCGCAACTCTGTCGCCTCACCCTCCTCTTCCAAGCACGAAGGAGAAACTACGGTGGTCACAAAACACCCAGAATACCCCCCCTCATTCTTAGGTAACAAAAACATAATGATAATTACCTTCAGGTGATAATATACTAATGAAAACATACCTATAAACATTATATTCCTTTTCTGCTAATAGAGCCTCCTAAATGTTACACACTGGACGTTCAAGACACTGCAGTAAATTCAATAAAGTAAACACCCATAATAAAGCACATAGTAAGACAATGATGGAATAACCAGAAGGGAGTGAGAGCTCGCACTTAAAATTAAACTCACGTTTCTTCTTTTCCTCCATTCCACCTCATTTCATGAAGCCTTAGGTCGCCAAGATCTCTCTGTTAAAACATAATTAATCCACAACAGTGTTGACAACAGTTTTTTTGACCATTTAGTGAGGATACCACAATGAAAATTACACCCAACTTACTGCCTCGTTTAAGACTATCGGGTGCTCTGGCAAGAATTCCGGCTTCTTCCTGGCCTGAGGACAACTAGCCAGACCAATTAAAAAATCTCTCGAGTAAGATATTCTGCCTACAAAAAGAATATATATATATATATATATTAAATACATTACAAGAGTTAGAATCAGGCAAATCTGAAAAAGTATGCTGTTATTCTGATAATAAACCACTGGTGGTTCATGATGACATTTTCAAGTCATTAAAAAAACACTTTTAACTGTGGTGTCTTACCTTCTTTCTGTTTGTGCAGGTTGACAATCTTGTAGAACTGCTCTATGCCAACATTTGTCTATCGAGCGCAAAGTTAGAAAAAAGGCAAATGGTTATTTAAAAGGAATTTTAATTGGGGAAAAACACAAAGTGTGTATCCGTGAGACTCAAATACTGAAGAGCAGAAATTACTAAAATAAAATAATCAACAACAATTTTAAATAATCAATATAATTGTTTTATAAGTAATATATCAAGCAAAAATGCCAAACATTGAACAGTTTCAAGTGTATACAACACATTGGAAAACTGAATCCATTTGGGTTTTGGACTGTTGTTTAGGCAAAACAAGCAATCTAAAAGGAGAATTGTGATTTCTTTTTACATTTTACAGATGATCAAGAAATGATAGAAAACATAATCGATAGTGAAACTAATGTAATGTTTCAACCCTTAAATTATCATCTTCTTTGGGATTTCTTACCTCTTGATCCACCTCCTCCATCAGTGCCTGAGCACATGTAGCAGTATTCATATTGGGCTCTAAATGAAGTGATAGAGTTATAATATGAGCATGCCGTTAAATATAAACAAGTTTATTCATCCCCATAAAGAAGTCTGACCAACTGATGCAGACTGCTTACCAATGTCAACCTGAGGGCAGCGACGCAGGGGTCTCGCTGGCTCCAGGTGTTTTTGGAGGACTCTTCTCCTTGATACCTCCATTCTGGTGTCAGTAAGGGTCAGACATGTTTTAAATCTACTAACCACTACAAGGCTTGCTCATCACATTTGCTGAGTGGTGCTGTGTTACTACAAGCAGATGTGTGTATATATACATATTTCAATATATTACTTTTCACTGCTTTCCAAATGTTGCAGACAGTAGCTGTAGTGGGTCAAAGCAACAGGTGCATGTTGACAATAGATCTGAGAAATGTATTGGGATTAGTTGTATGCCAGGCTTCAGCTGATCTTCCTCAATTCACAGCAGAACCATATGTAATATTAGAGTTAAGTATTTAAAGTAAGGACGCTAATTAGCTAGTTAGGTCATAAGTATCTTATACAATCAACGTTAAGTTTCTCAAGTGGAGTTACTTAGAATAAAAAACAAACATATAAGTTAGCTGTCACTGATCAGGGATGTCCCACCATGAGTAGCACAACAGCTAACATGAACAATACAATTGGACCTATTAGCTTAAGTAGTTTAACTGACAGTAAGCGAACTTGACATGAATAAATAATCTCTTAATACTTGTAGAACGCTGTTGATAACTCCCTTTCTACCTTAGTTGTACAATAAAGAAGCAACTCTGGAGAAAAAGTTAAAATAAATCACTGTTGCCCATCACAGTGTTTGATGGCAGACATCTGTGTCAACCATGGACTGCATGACAACGGCCAGCGGCTACCATTAGCGGTTCAGTCCAACGTTTACCAATCATTTGTTGTTCAACGGCAGGGACTAACGACCGTACACCGTTTCTCATTTTAACATATTGCGGATAAAATCAGAAGTTAACGTTATGTGGTTAACAAATGCCGCTTCAAAATGATGCAAAGTTTGAACTTCTATGCACTCCCTGCATCTGGATGTTAACTTACCATAATTCTAGCGAGTAATTATATTAATTATATACGGGAAAGTTCACGTTACAAGTCCTCGACGTAGTCGTTTTACTTTACGTTTTTACTATATATATATATATATATATTAAAAAAAGACATGTTTAATTATTCACCTGTACTTCTACAAAATTCCCTCAGCGTGGTTTTCTGTCTGCTCACTTGACCGGTGACATGTTAAACCAGCACCTCCACTTCCGGTGAACAACTTTCAAAATAAAATGTATTACTATAATACAAAAGATCTATTATCACTAGGAGCAGAGCATTGAGGAAGTTGCTTGCACATTTAGCCAAATTATCCCACAGGGCTTTTGTTGATACGTCTTCATGTCATTGTGAAGATGTGGTCATAAATACTACTACTACTACTAACTTCCATTTTCTTTTTTTCATGAATAGGACATTTTCCAGAATCCATTCACCAGGTGTAATACTATATTTAGATCTTTGCTAAACACACAAATCATAGTCATGTACAGTATGTTCTGGCATCAGTGCCGTTTTCACCTTAAAGTCCATATTATTTGTAGCCCAAGAGGATGCTACACCTGTCACTGGTGTTAATTGCTTACATCAGAGACAAGGGGCAAGGGCCAATATGAATACACATTATTTTCTCATAGTGGTCACTCTTCCTCTCCCTCATCTCTTTTACACGTCTTCCTTTCGGACAACTGGAGTTTATAAAAAAAAGCATTACTATATCCCAACTTAATATTCAGTCATGAGTACATTAAATCACTTAAGGCTATTTCATTGAACCCAATCTAAATAAATCATCTACACAAAGTTTGTCAGTAAGCAAAATATACTTTAAGTGATGGATATGTGAAGAAAAACGGACAATTCAAAGGTAAGTGTTTTTATAAAAGCCACACTTTTCACAATAGCCACAGATAGTAAAATTAAATTTACATACATTTCTCCAGTGTTGCAAGCTGAATTATACAAAAATATTTTGATGAAAAAACAAAAACAGAATATTTAACTAAGATGAGCATTGCATACAAAACCCATATTAAGTAGTAGACAAACCATATTGCCTAATCAAATATATTTTTTGCAGCTAGGAAAAAAAAAAAAAAAACCTTTACTGTATTCCCAATTATATAAAGCCATGCCACATTAATCAAAAAGGGAAGGAAAAAAAGGCAATCACCTTCCTTAAATCCACTTTGCTTCAATCAACATTGTGTATATGTATATACCACACTACAAGGGCATGTAAGGTACCATGGAAAGCAATGTCACTTTCACACAAGTGTTAGCTGTATTTTCCTTGGACCTATTGGTCTTCCACTCAGTTCCTCAACTGCTGTTAACGCCTCCTGACGGGACTCAAATACTGCAGTTGCAGAGCCTCTGGGTTTTCCACTCTGGTCGTACTGCAGTGAGACAGATCCAGGGATAATGCGATATCCATAGCAAAAGTCATAGATTTCTTCGCTTCTGATTTGGAATGGCAAATTAAGTAGCTTCACACAGGTGGGACCATCAAGATGCTGCACTGAAGGACCAAAACCCCCATGAACGCCATTACCTCTGTCTTGTGGAGCGTAAGGGCCTACTGCATAGGGCTCGTAATCATAACCTCCGTGGCTATTGGCCTGTACATTAGTCATCGGTCCGTTACCATCACGAGAAATCCTAAAGTCAGGGTACTCTGTGTCACCAGGCCGATAGGATGCCTCGCTGCTCCTGCCTGAGTACTGCTCCTCTCTTGGCAGTGTCTCTTGCACAATTGTCTCTTGCACCAATGGTGGCTCAACACCCAACTGCCGCATCTGAGAACGTGATATGCATTTCAGTATGACTTCTGACCCAAGAAACCGTTGTCCATTGAGAGAGAGTGCACTCATAGCCTCTGCCTCAGACCGGAAGAGAATCAAAGCCTTTCCCACCCCAGCACCTTTATGGTCATGCAGCACGAACACCTTGTCCTCTGTAATATTAAACCCAAGGAAGAAGTCCATGATCTCAACTTTCCGTACATCAAATGGCAGGTTTCGCACAAACAGACACACTTTCTCAGAGTCATAAGCATCATTGGGGTAAGATGGAGGCCTCTCCTGAAACCTTTCCGGGCTTCCAGGAGGTTTATCATCCATGCTCTGAGATTCCAGAAGGGCGATCATTTTCTCTCTTGAGATCGGGCGGGTAAAAACCCATCGGTTGAGAAACTGCCTTTTTTCGTGGGTCAAAGCCTCACAATAGTCACGCAGACTCTTGAAGAGCACAAATGAGGATCTAGTTCTTCTACCATCACCGTCAATTAAGTGCAGGATCTGGTCATCCTCGAGCTTTGCATTACGAAAAAGCTTTTTAATGTCTTCTTTCTCCACTGCATACGACAAATTTTCCAACAGAACGCAGTACTCATCGTCAGAAGGAGCAATGGACCTTTGGGCCAAAGGTGACTGTGACCTTGGATATTGTGGATTCCTCTGATTGCGAATAGGTGATCTCTCCCTTCCAAAGTTGTTATCCGTGTTGACAGCCATTGACACGTTACCAGTAGCCCGACGCCAGTCGTCTAAGGTTGTTGTTGAAACCTCCACATACCTTGACCCAATGTATCTCCTATCCCTCTTCAGGCCTTCATATGCATCCTCTCTTGTTGCAAATTTGACGAGACCTTTCCCGTTCTTTACACCATGTGCATTTTTCAACAAGACTATTTCATCAACAAGTAAACCACCAAAAAAGTCACGGACATCCGCTTCAGTCACAGAGAATGGCATTCCTTTTAGAAACACACGCAAGTAGTCATCAGTGTTTGAAGCCCTCAGGTGTTGGGGAGGAGGGGTATGGCCCGATCTGCTACCTGATCTCCGGCCCACCTCAGGGTCCACAGATCTTCTAGCCCATCTTGCATTCTCCTCGTGTCGCCTCTTTTGATCTAGCTCTACATTTTTTGTACTTCTTTCAAGGATGCTCTGCATCTCTGTTTTACTACTCAGTAGCAATGCAACAGGTGAACCCTGAATGCACCCCCCTGACCGTGTCATGGCTCTTCTTGCATCTTCATCTGAAGCAAAGATAATGAACGCTTCCTCTCGCTCCCCACCAATTATATGTACCCCTCCATCTGGAATTTTGAGGCCAGTGAAGAATTTGCGAATATCCTCAGAGCCTGCTGTGACTCTCAGTCCCTGTAAACGGATGACGACCGCCATGCTGAAGCACAAACAACAGCACCTGTAGACAGAAGGGTATAGAACAGCATTATTGCCAACAGAGTTTCTCTAGCTCAGTGTCAATTTCCTGGCATTCCAAAGAAACACCACTGAACTGGAAGAGCAATGTTAGAATAAAGGACATCAGAGACCATGTACACCATTACGATCAATGCCCACAACAGCCCACATATACTGTAGGTCACGCTTGTTGAAATGGCACAAACACACTACAAACCAATTGCAAATTCTAACCAGAATCAAAATTTACTGTATATTCCATCAAGTTCCATGCAAGACTCTCTACCACAAGACTTTTATTACTCACAGTATTCTCCATAAATTAAAAATGCTATCCACCGCTGGCTTAAAAAGGACAATATGGCATCGGGTCAAAATACACAAAGCAACACAATCTGGCACAATCATTTACCCTTCCTCCTAGATCCATTTTAATCATTCTCATCATTGGAAAAAAAATGAACCATATTATCTTAAATACTGAAGAAAGAAAATGTTGTGCACACCTCACACAAAAAATATATTTTGTTAACTATCCAAAGTTGTCACGTATAATTCAAGGAAAAGCAGTCGATTATATGTTGATCTTAAAACCACTACTGGTGGTAAGAATGTTTCAAGGGTCAATTCTTTAATAACAAATAGCTGATGAAGCTGTAGCCTTTGGAGGGCTGAAACCTAATAGACAGAATCTGTGTCAAATCCCAGACAGCCCACACAAGACTGACCATAGCCATCATTTCAAGTTCATGACCTTTTTCCAAAATCAATGCTGCATCCATGTGTTGTGCATCAGTGTCAGGTCAGACATTTCCAAGTCCACCACCAAGAATTTCAACTGATTCAGCCAGGGTTGAATTCAGAACAAGTATTTTTGCTTTTGAAGGGGTCCTCTGAATCCGACAGCCTTGTTGATCCATCATCAGACATTTATATTTACTACATCAGTACCAGCAACGATCCAGCTCCAAGTCTGTCACTCAGGAACCACAAGCCGTAAAGCACCAAAAGAAACATTGATTTCTGATCAAGAAATACTCACTTACCAAATGCCAAGACAGTCAAAACTGTGTGTGAATGTTTTTAAATTGCAGCCCACATGTCTGTGCCTTTAAAACTCCAGAGTATCACAGCATGGTTAAGGACAATAACAGTGGTTTGGCATATTTAAGTTAGCTGAGTACTATCTGCTTACACTCACTCTGTAAGTGGCTGTTATTTCCCAAAGCAGCCATTTTAGTTTCTGTCTCTTTAACTCTCTGTAATAATGGTTTAGCTCGTAACAAAATATTTTATCCTGGGACAAATTCCCATGGCGCACATTCCTTCTGGGTAGTTCCATGTTAGATCAGTTAGAAGGACAGATTTTCCACCTACAAGTAGTTCATGTTTTCGAACTGGGCTCCATGAAGCACACACTTCTAACCAAAACACACTAACTACAAGAGACGTACAACTTCAACTGCAGTAAACTTGCAGGGGAGCAGTGAAATCTGTATTTCCTTTCACTCAGAGGTTCCTCCACTGCATCATTGCCTTGCTCTAACACCAGTCCCAAAATATTCCATTCATGATAGAAAAAATTCTCTGTTGTGGATTGCATGATTTGGCATTTTAGCACGCTGCTGCAGTCTGTTCATTCCAGAGGCTGGTGTTCTGGTTAATCCAATAGTGGCAGTCTCCCCTCTTCTTGCCCTTTTCCCTGTCACGCCGTGTTCGCCTCAGCAACTTTTCCTCTGTACACTCTGTCGCAAGCGGATACAGTAAAACCGTTGTTCCATAGAAAGTGGATTTGTCTTCTCGTCGGAGCTCATCGTCATTCTGACTGGCATTGGAATTTGCACCACCAAGAAAGACTCACAAATCACTGACCAATTACAATGTTGCTATTATTATCTTAAAGTGTACAAAGATGAATTAAAACCTGAGTACCCTGGTTTTCACTAATGCAAGTTGTAAGCCACCTGTATGGCTCTTTTTTTTTTTAAACCACAAAATGGTAATCAACCATTGCTTGGTTTCAGACCTCTGAACCAAAGCTCACAACAAATGTGAAGGCGCAAAGCAATTCAGATTAATCATCAGGCAATAACATGGCTACACACAGACATCAGATACAACACCACACAAGTTAGCCAAAGTCTGCCTCAACTGCTCTGTACCTCAAGTCCTGAAACTAAACCTATTCTTGTTGTATTGTAAACACAATACAAACTTTATTATACACCGCTCATCGCCACTGGTATCACCTCAGAGTGAAGCCATTATACTTTACAACAGCACCACCACAGCATTTCCAAGTTGGCCTAAAACACACAGCTAACGTACACGCTATCTTGTCGCCATCGATAGGGCCGACATTTTATCAATAACCGCAAGGTTGACTGACAAAACCTGAACAATATGAAATTATTTTAATATTGTGTGCTATTTAACTTGGCTGGCGTTAACAGAAATCGTTAACTAGGATGATAGCAAACGCCCTTTCCGTCCAGACAACTCTGAGCAAAGTGTCAAGGTTAGCCAACGTTAGCCATGTAGCTCATGATGTAGCCAGCTAGGCCTCAACTGTGGCTCATTGGACGGCCAACGCCGACCCGCGGCAATAATGTATTCTGTATTAACAGCACCACACATAGAGCGACCTCACCCAGAGCAACACTTACACAATGGACAACCACAGACTCTCGAGCAAAATCGAGATTATCGAAAAGATTCAGGTCAAATTTCGGCTTCGCGTCACTCTTGTCTCAAAGATGAAATCTTATTTTTCTTGGTCTTCTTCTTCTTCTTCTTCTTCTTCTTCAGTTTCTAATGTCGAGCTGCAAAGCATCGTGAATGGTGCATGCCGCCACCTACCGGATGTTGACATAAAATCATCTACCGTGTATGACATTTCTGGATATTAAACCTGTTTTATGTTAATGTTTAAATAAAGTTCTTCCTACCTCTAATTGTTTGTCTTCCGTCTTAAATAGATTGAGTCTCTGCTCTCTTCCCATTTATGCAATCACATCCCTCATTCTGTGTATTTCTTCACATTTTCAACGTTTTCCTTACATGTTTATCTCTTCTTTTTCAGGATATATAGTGTTGTATTGAGTGGGTGTCTTAATCCTACATTTACCTTACTTCTCTGATAGAGAGTTCAACTCTTCCACAGCAGCCTTTGACATTATATATATATATATATATATATATATATATATATATATATATATATATATATATAATAAAGCTCTGGTCCATATAATCTCTTTAGAAACATTTCAGTATGTTTAGATCATAGGCTGTATATCCAGAAAATAACTTTATGATGTTTTGTTTGTTTGTCACTTCATCTTCCACATGGGTTTTCCTCGATTCTTTTATAATAACAAGGTAACGCTGCCTGTAAGTCTTGTCTTCATATATTTAATTCATTAGTCACTCGTCGCTGCAGTGCGCTCCAGGGTTCGCGCCAGCTATGTCCCCACATCATGTGATGTGATGTTGCTGAACACAGCAGCCAGAGCCAGAGAGATACTGCGAGGATCAGTGTTGTGGAATAAAAAGGTATTCCAAAGACATGTTCATAGTCCTTCAAACAGACCGGGTTGGCACTCTTGTTGTAACTTACAGGTTGATCAAATGAAGACTCTTTCTGGGGCTCGGATCTCTCCTCCAACTCACTGCTAACTATGTGAGGTCCTGCTAGCTCGATAGTACCGACATTCAGCCAGGCTGAAGCTGGGGCGCAGCAGCAGCAGCAGCAGCAGCAGCAGCAGCAGCGGTAGTGGTAGTGGTGGTGGTGGTAGTAGTGGTGGTGTTGTTGGTGGTGCTCCTCCGCCGACGATCATTTCCGACAGCTCCGTATGGATTTGACGTCGGCATACATTGTCGCTTGATGTTTTACAAAAGGGCCGATTACAGGTGATTTCGAAGATGGGGGAACCTTGTGACCTTAAGCACTTCGTAAAGTGAGTACCTTGTGAACCGCTGTTTTCTTTTACTCCACGCTAACGTTACGTTAATTGTGGTTGAACCATCTTACACACAAGACAAAACATTATGAGCTAACGTTAGCATGCTAGTAAAGCCGGGTGCAGAGACTTCAGAATAGGGGTCCATTACAAAGGAAATGTATATCTAACCCGTTAGATTAGAAAACGAGTCACCCACTAGTCGAAGCAACCCTGTTTACTGTGACTTTACACATTCGTGACAGACGAAAGATTAAAGTTAACAACAGTAACGTTAGCTTACTGGCTGCTAGTTAGCGTTACATTGCGAGAGTTAGCTAGCGTTAGCTGCTGATGCTAGTGGAGTCACTTGGCTAACCGTCTTCGTCAACTGACACAAATGTGACTCTTTACCTCCGAGACACAGCTGGAAAATACCGTGTTCGGCACAATGCTCGCATTTCCACGCATAGACTTGTTGGCTGGTCAACATTAACAACATGATTTATGCATACCACAACACGAGCTAACGCTATCTTTAAAGATGGCCCACGGAAGCTCCCTGTTTGTTAGCGTGCCCAAGTTAGCTTAGCGAGTTCAGATATTTTTGTAAACCAGCGTCGCAGTCGAATAGCTAAGGTAATGCCGCCTTGCCTGTTTGCTTACTACTTATATATATATATGGACTAGTATAAGTAGTTAGCAAATCTTGGTAATGTATTTCTACAAATTCATAGGTTTGCAGCACATCCTCTACTCGTTTTCACAGTGGGTAAAATCCTCCTTTTAAAGGCCATGTTAGCTTAAGTTAGTTTGATAATTTGCTCCCAACCAGTCGCCGTTTGTTTTCATTAGTGTCGATGTGTTATTTGACATAAATCCTCATTCTACAGCCCCCTTTGTTTTCGGTAGGCCTTTTGCCTGTCCTGTACATGCTTAATAATGAGATGCATGTTCTCTACTCGCCCTGCATCCATGTTTTTTTTTTTTTTGTTTTTTAATGTATGTCCGACCATGATGGTACTATTTATAAATCATAGGTGAATGTAACCTTTTATTTTTTGTTGTTGTGCTGCGATGCGCTCACAATGACAACAGTAGAGACTGACTGCCCGGCAAGTTGAGGAAGTGGGAAATCTATCTCATAGCAGACATAAATATTAAGACGTGAAACTGGATTCTCTGCCACATTGCAGCGATAGATAACAGGATTCTCAGGAAGGGACGCCAGCAGAAGTCGTTAATACTATAACGGTTCAAAGCATGAGACACCACTTACTTTTTTGACATAGTGTACATATAGGCAATGCGTTTTGCACAAGCCAGACCCACTGCTCAACACTGTATTTACTGTAATGTCAAATAAAAAGTTGCATTTCTGCTTTTTCTGCAACTACCCTCAGATGTCAGTGATGTCTAAAATGATAAAACCTACTGACCCAGTAGCTGTAAGCTGTTGTGGACAATCGAGACCCAGTTCATTGCAACCCTATCTTTCTTTTTGTCAGGTGTGGCGTCACTTTGGAGGGCTCATTTCTCTGATTCGGATTATTCTTGGCCAGCAGCCTCTTCAGGCCTTCTAATCCTAGACGAGTTTCTCAATGGACACTCTGCTCAAGTCAGAGATCAGGTATTAGACAGCACAAAATGCAACTCACGGTGTATGTCTTTATTTAGTGTAGTTTCACATGGATTAGGAAATGATATTAGCATGGTTACCGAGTTGTATTTTGTTTGAATTGTTTAAACATTTCAATATTAAAGGTCATTCTAAGCCCAAGGCCTTGTCACTATTTATACACTGATAAATATTTGACAATTAAAAATATAAATGCTGCAAAAAGTTTTGGGCTCTTTTTTAAGATTGATAACTGATAACATGTTGTCTTTATTATCTATTTATCTTGTTATTTGTGACCGGCCAGTGTGTGGATAGGCTGTGTTTTGTGTAGTGTAGCCACAGATACAGTATACAGTACATTAGTTCATGTGACACTAGTGTACAATGTTAGAAACACCTCTAAATAAAAAGTCTTTATCATTAATTGTAAAGAAGACAGAGAGAAATAATTTCAGGCCCTATGATCAGGTTTCAGTTATGTTTATGTCACCATATAGAAACAATAGGTGACCACAATGCTTGGTATTAGGCATTACATTCAGTTATGCTAACTGTTTGTTTATATTTATTCGCTTGAAAAATGAAACAGTTGTGCATTACATTTGGAATAATATTGCTATATTATATATATATATATATATATAGTATATAGTAAAATATTCATGCAACAACAATCTAAAAGGGTAAAGCTCTTGGTCTAGTAGGTCCAGTAATCGTTTGATTATGTTCAACTTGCTTGCTATAGCCTTTTTCTATATAACAGGATGTCACTGCAAAAATGTCTCGTTTGAAGGTCATAGAGAAAAAGGAAAAAAATGATATCCTAAAGGATTAAATGACCCAATTGTTGCCTTGCACCCATATTGAGCCTACCCTAAGGAGAACACACACTTTAATAGGACAAAGGGAAGAACAAAAACCCAATTATTATTTTTGAACATGTTAAATACTTACATCTGTAAGTGTAAGTGATTTGTTGCTTCAGCTGTTTGTTTTTGTTGGCATCACCAGTTGCGAGTCTAAGCAATGTAGACAATCAAGCAATATGGTGTTGAGTTGGTTATGTTATTAGTTGGTTAGGCTATTTCAACCCTTGTTTAACCCTCATCCTACTGACTGGGGTACCTGCAGACTGTAACGGTATACTTCTTGTTATATTGTAGTCCTTGTTTGTTGAATATGTTGGTCAGATGAGGGTTAAGGGACCCTAACAGATCATGTGAATATAGTGTACATTTTGTTTACAGTTTTTTTTTGTCTACTTAAGGGGTTAGTAGTAAACTATGAATGAAATTGATTGAACAATAATTACCACAGAATCACTAAAACTCATGTCCATCATCATTATCCCATTAACACAGATTTCTTTCAGTTTTCTGTTTAAAGAGTGATGAAACACAAACCCCTCTGTCAGGAAAAACTCAATTGCATGGAGCAGACAAGTAATGGATTAAGACTGTAACCCTAACCTTTGACTCCACTCAGCAGTGATATTGCAAACTTAATATAACATGGCAAACGTAAACATTCAGTCTGCATGGACCATAGACTGTCTTGCCTGTCATAGATTATCATTTTTGTTTCATATGGACATTACTTTTTAAGCCATAGTGGCTTTGTTAGGTTTCTCGGTGGTGTTGATGGGGTTGTACAATGTGAAAAAGTAAATGGTGCAATCATGCAGAATATATTTGACTTGGCCTAACTTCTCTGTAGTATAGTCCATTCTATGTGTAGCTTGCATGCCCTTTTCATGTTTCCATGTGTTACTAAAGTTTTGTGCTACATCAAAGTTATGTTCCTGCTATTGCTGTTGAGCAAGGTGCTGGCTTTACAACAAGCTTTGGTTGTAACCCATCTCTAAAACATTATATATATATTTCTCTGCAGGAATCTGTAACATTCAGCTTTGGTTAGATTGAGTTTTTTTGATATACAGTATGCTGGTGATGTGCGAACACAGTTACAACCATGGGCTCTGTGTTTTATACAGGTTGGCTGGGTCATAAAAATTAACATTCTGATTAACAGCAGCTGGGCTGCAGGTGGGTGAAATATGGTGAAATGTGCACTGTGTCTCTCCTAATAGGGGGACACTGTGCACATTTATGCACAGCAGCATAACTTCATTGATTATTTAAATTGCCCAACACACTGAGAATTGGTCGGGATCTACTGTTAATGTTCTGTGCTCTTCTACACATCCAAAAGTTGAAGTTGCTTGGAGTAAAGCAGCAGCAGTCCACTTAATAAATCC